ACTACTGCTCCTCCTACTACTGCTCCTCCTCCTCCTTCTACTACTACTGCTACTACTCCTTATCTCTCTCCTCCTCCTACTACTACTGATCCTCCTCTTCCTCCTACTACTGCTCCTCCTAATCCTCTTCCTTTTCCTCCTACTACCATTGCTGCTCCTCCTTCTTTTGCCCCCACTCCTCCTCCTCCTACTACTAGTACTACTACTACTGCTGCTGCTCCTTTTCTTCTTCTCCTCCTCCTCCTCCTCCTCCTGCTCCTACTCCTCCTACTATTGCTGCTGCTACTCCTCCTACTACTGTTCCTCCTCCTCTTCCTTCTCCTGTTACTTCTGCTACTCCTACTACTACTGTTCCTCCTCCTCTTCCTTCTCCTGTTACTGCTACTCCTCCTCCTCCTACTACTACTGCTGCTACTACTCCTACTCCTATTACTGCTCCTCCTCTTCCTACTACTACTTCTTCCTCCTATTCCTACTACTACTACTCCCTCACCTACTCCTACTCCTCTTCCTCCTATTACTCCTACTGCTCCTCTTCCTACTCTTCCTTATTCTACTACTCGTCCTACTCCCCCTTCTCCTTCTCCTACTACTCCTCTTCCTCCTCCTCCTCCTTCTACTACTCCTCTTCCTCCTCCTCCTCCTCCTCCTCTCCCTTCTACTACTACTACTACTCCTCTCCCTTCTACTACTACTACTACTACTACTGCTGCTGCTGCTCTGCCTTCTCCTCCTCCTCTTCCTCCTTCTACTACTGCTCCTCCTCCTACTCCTCTTCCTACTCCTCTTCCTTTTCCTCCTATTATTGCTGCTCCTCCTCCTCCTACTACTGCTGCTGCTGCTGCTCCTCCTCTTCCTCCTCCTCCTTCTTCTACTACTGCTGCTGCTCTCCCTCCTCCTTCTCCTACTACTATTACTACTATTGCTGCTGCTACTCCTCCTTCTACTACTGTTCCTCTTCCTTCTCCTCCTCTTCCTTCTGCTACTGCTGCTGCTGCTCCTCCTCCTCCTCCTACTACTACTACTGCTGCTCCTGATGCAGCTAATGCTGCTATTGTTCATACTATTACTGCTACAACTACTAATCCAGCTGCTACTACAACTACTGCTGCTGCTGCTCCTCCTCCTCCTCCTCCTTATACTACTGCTCCTCCTCCTCCTCCTCCTTCTAGTACTACTGCTGCTACTCCTTATCCTTATCCTCTTCCTCCCCCTGCTACTGCTCCTCCTCCTCCTCTTCCTCCTCCTACTACTGCTCCTAATCCTCTTCATTTTCCTCCTACTACTACTGCATCTAGTCCTCTTCCTTTTCCTCCTACTATTGCTGCTGCTCCTCCTCCTACTACTACTGCTGCTGCTCTTCTTCCTCCTCCTACTACTATTGCTGCTGCTCCTACTACTGTTCCTCCTCCTCTTCCTTCTCCTGTTACTGCTCCTCTTCCTCCTCCTCCTTCTACTACTACTGCTGCTACTACTACTCCTCCTACTACTACTACTACTACTATTACTGCTCCTCCTCTTCCTACTACTACTTCTTCCAATTCCTACTACTACTACTCCCTCACCTCCTACTCCTACTCCTCTTCCTCTTATTACTCTTACTGCTCCTCTTCCTACTTTTCCTTATACTACTACTCGTCCTACTCCCCCTCTTCCTTCTCCTACTACTCGTCCTACTCTCCCCCTTCTCCTTCTCCTACTACTCCTCTTCCTCCTCCTCCTCCTCCTCTCCCTTCTACTACTACTACTCCTCCTCCTACTACTACTGCTCTGCCTCCTCCTCCTCCTCCTCCCCTCTTCCTCCTACTCCTCTTCCTAATCCTCTTCCTTTTCCTCCTATTATTGCTGCTGCTCCTCCTCCTCCTCCTACTACTACTGCTGCTCCTCTTCCTCCTCCTCCTCCTCCTTCTCCTACTACTCTGCTGCTCTTCTTCCTCCCTACTACTACTACTCCTGCTCCTCCTGATGCAGCTACTGCTGCTATTGTTCATACTATTACTGCCACTACTACTGCTACAACTACTAATCCAGCTGCTACTACAACTACTGCTGCTGCTACTACTGCTACTCCTCCTCCTCCTTATACTACTGCTCCTCCTCCTACTACTACTACTGCTGCTACTCCTTATCCTTATCCTCTTCCTCATCCTCCTACTACTAGTACTACTGCTGCTGCTGCTCCCCTTCTTCCTCCTCCTGCTCCTACTCCTCTTACTATTGCTGCTGCTCCTCCTCCTTCTACTACTGTTCCTCCTCCTCTTCCTACTACTACTTCTTCCTCCTTCTATTCCTACTACTACTACTCCCTCACCTCCTACTCCTCCTCTTCTTCCTCCTATTACTCCTACTGCTCCTCTTCCTACTCTTCCTTATACTACTACTCGTCCTACTCCCCTTCCTCCTTCTCCTACTACTCCTCTTCCTCCTCCTCCTCTCCCTTCTACTACTACTATTCCTCTACTACTACTCCTACTCCTCTCCCTTCTACTACTACTACTACTACTCCTACTGCTGCTGCTGCTGCTACCACTCTTATTACTACTGCTGCTGCTGCTGCTGCTGCTTACTTGCTGCTATCACTCTTACGTAATACTACTACTGATGCTGTTACTGCCATTGCTGTTGTTAATGCGCTAGATCCAGCCTGTTCGTCCTAACTTGCCTTCCGAGGCCTTGAGACCGCCACTGCTTCACTTCCGTGCAGCTTGTCACCACTCCTTTCTCTTCTCTGCCTCCCTGCATACTCCCTGACGCATGACCTTACCGCATGACATTCGTAGCATGTAGCATCAGCATAGGATCTCTGCATCATTCATAACCGTAGCAATGCACGTCCACCAATAGGACTTGCGGTATTGGTGTTGTATCTTGGGGGTTTGACTGGGTAGCATGTGTGTGGGTTTCTCTCTTTAGAATACTTGTATTATGTACTTGATTTTCATTTAATACGTGTGCCTGTTTGTTTGTTTGTGCGTACATTATTTTTGTTTGTGTGTCTGTATGCCTTTGTGGTTGTGTCCTTTTGTGTGGGTGTGATTTTGTATCTGTGTCGGTTTGTTCCTGTTATGTATAGGTTGATTTTGGTAACGCCTGCGCTGGGCAATGTTTATTTTAGGAATGGTTTTATTTTTGTATGCAAATGCCTCCCATTTCATAATCACCATTACTGTGAATTATGTTGTGATTTTGGTAACGCATTTACTGAGTTATGAATAGGTTTTAGATGTTTTTTTTGTTCTATATGAGTGTTTCCCGTGTCTTCATCACCATCAACCATACTATTACTTATTTGTTTGGGGTTTTAAGTTTTTGCACATCTTGATAAGACCTTTTCTGAGCAGTGGATGTTTAGGCAGAGATGTGTTATTATATGTACGTTCTCCTATTAAATAGGATATTTCTATAACATTTTGGAAACGCTTGTAGTGGACAATGGGCGTTTTTGGTTCAAATATGCAAGCGTGTCTCCCAGTTCGCATTCGCCATTATGATTTGTTTTTGTGTTTCGGATTGAGTGTATGCACATGACTGGGACCGCCTGTACTGAGCAGGGAATGAATTTGGTTGTCGGTTGACTTTTATATTACCACCTTTACCATTACTTGTTTGGGGTTGTATGTTTATGCACATTTTGGCTGAGCCTTTTCTGAGCAATGGGTACATTTGCTTGGTTTAGGTCTAGGTGTGTTGATTTAAGCGAGTGTGTTTCCCGTTTCATGATCACCATCATGAGACTACGAGAATTATTTTGGGATGTGTTTCTGCGAACATGAAAGTGTTTAGGCAAGCGTATCTCCATTTTTTATCACCATGATGACCATTTCATATTTGTTTGGGGTTTGTTTTATACACATTTTGGTAAAGCCTTTTATGAGCAATGAATATGTTCGGTTTAGGTCTCGATGTGTTTCTATATGAAAGCGTCTCCCATTTCATATCACCATTTATTTGTTTGGGGTTTTATGTTATGCACATTATGGTAACAGCTGTTCTGAGCAGCGAATGTGTGTGGTATATGCCTGACTTTAAACAAGCGTGTCTCCCATTTTATAATCACCATTACTACCATGACTTGTTTGTTTGGGGTTTTGTGTGTGTTGGTAACACCTGTATTGAGCAATGGCTTTGATCTGGGTCCAGGTATATTCCATATGTAAATGTGTTTCCCATTTCTTAGTCAGAGCCATTACTGTACCGTTGTGTTCTGGGGTCTTATGCCTTTATTTTATGGTTTTACTTGATCTGTTGCTTGGAGTTGCGTCCATGAATATAACTTTGTGTTGTGGTGTTTGCTGTGTTACGTGCACAGCATTCGTGTTGATTTTTGTTGCAGTTTTGTCCTATTTTTGACTGAGGTATATTGCTTTGAATTCCATGCGTCGATGCGTCTGTTCCGTGTCCTGGTTATCACCACCAGCATAATGAAAGGGTTCGAGTTGATGCTCTCTTCTTTGATGTATTTTGTACCGCCATTTGTGTGCAATAAATGTTTTAGTTTAATACTTGATTATTTCCCCTATATTTTGTACCATTTATATTTTGCAATAAATGTTTTTGTTCCTTTCTTTGATTATTTGATGCCTGTTTATCTCCCTTATATGTTGTACCTTCTGTATTTTGCAGTAAATGCGTTTTTTATGCTTGTTTATATGCATTTATGTGTCTGTTTGTGTATGCGTGTGCGCGCACCTGAAATGTTTGTTCTTTAGTTTCTGGGTCTGCATGTTTGTCTTAGTTGCATGTCTTTACTTTCTGTTGCTCTCTCACTCTCTCCCTCCCTCCCTCCCTCCCTCCCTCAATCCTCCCTCCCCTTTCCCTCCCTTCCCTCACCCGCCCTCCCTCCACAATAAACAGCTGAACCAGAATTGTCTTTCCATGCACCCACCAAATCAGGGCAAAACACAAACCCTGACACTCCCCCCCCCCCCTTTCCTGCATGTCCCGGTGTTGAGAGCATTAAAAATCCCAGCGCATCTAACTTTGCTTTCCTTCTCCCACAGGAATGCAGTCGATCTCCCTGGCAGCGCAGTGGGATAGCCGGAGGACCTGCTGGCTGCCCGTGACTCAGTCCTTCAGCGAAGGGGCTTCCGTTCGTCTTGCCCAGCGGCGACTCGAAGGGGCTGAGTTATGAATAGGTTTAAAATGTTTATTTTTATTTTCCTATATGAAAGTGTTTCCCGTGTCTTAATCACCATCATTCTTACAGACAATATGCAGAACGAGGTAGTGCCTGAGTTGGGAGATAAAACCTATCCAAAATACAAGATCGATACAAAACAAATAACTTTTCTTCTATGGCTATATTTGTGCAAATGAGCCATAACGATATGATAACATGAAATGAAAAAAAAATAATAATAATAAGTCGAAAAATCTACTCTATTTTGATAATTGGCAACTTATTACCTCGCGTTTTTTCCAGCAGGGGGCAATATTACTAAGCATTTTTTCCCTACAGGGGGCAGCACACACTATACGCGGTATTTTCAAAATGTTGGCTGCCGTCTGGCGTAATGCGCTTATATTTCCTTCGTCTGTCTGTCTCTTTCTGTGTGTATATATATATAATATATATATATATATATATATATATATATATATATATATATATATATATATATATATATATATACATATACATACATACATACATACACACACACACACACACACACACACACACACACACACACACACACACACACACACACACACACACACACACACACACACACACACACATATATATATAATATACATAAATATGAAAATGTGTAATAACGAAAGTATGTCAACGCATAACAAGGTACATGAATAGTGTGTTGTGAAATATAAGGCATAATGGGAAACCGCTTCTGATGCCATCTATTTTTAAATAAAGTAAGAAATGCGCAATTAAGTCGTAACAATTTTACATACATTTCACTTGTACACTCGTCACTGTCGCGGAACTGTAATGGTAGCGATTTGCGGTTCTTCAGGCATTACAAGTGAAACAATGGCATTGTGCACAGGATGTGAACAAACTTTTGAACAAACTATTGCGAGATTCTATCAGCAGGACGATACTGCAATAGAGTTTTTTCAGTGCCACGGCCTTCTCCCGAAAAAGTTAATTTGTAAATCGTGCTTAAAAGAGTGCAATTTTGACAGTGAAAGAAACCGTTTCCACTGCAACAGACAATGCACAAATCCGAAGAACAAAAGAGTTAAAAAGTGTGACTATACTGTTTCAATATTTAAAGACACATGGTTGGAAAATGCCAAAATCAAACCGAATGAAAATCTAAGATTCTTGAATATATACTTACGACCAACACAATCAAAATCAAAACGGTAAACCACTCTTTAGAATTTGTATCCTCCAAAGACAAAAAAGTGCACACACAAAATATTGAGCGCCTATGGAGCACTATTAAAAGTTGGAAGCAGCGACCGAGAAAATTAAGACAATATTACCATCAATATTTTGCTCGGTATGCGTTTTGCGCTCGATAGAAGCCCAAAAGCCGCCTGTGCGCATTTCTTCGGGCCGCTGCACAGCTCTCTCCTCCACCACATTTAAGCGGTAAGTCAGAATCTTTATTAGCAGTGCCATATTTTTTTTTATTTTGCACCTACCATTTACTTACTGTAAGCGACGATCCTTTTAAGCATAATGTTACATTGTGTCCTTACAACAGCAAGACATATTTTAAAACATTTGGCCAGATTTGTTTTGTGTCGTGCCGCAGAAACACATGCCTGAAAGGAAAACATATATATAATACCGTGTCACTTCGCATATAGAACGTGATGTGAACACAATAATCGAACAACTTGTGCGTGTGCAACTATATTTATATATTTGTTATATACATTTTAAAACGTGCAAACTACAAAGACGCGGATTCAGCGGCAGTCCACGCTTCAATATTTTCTCCGTTAACAATATATCGTAACATTATAGTCTATAGCTCTACTTAAAGTACAATAGGAGCATATAGTGAACAGTTCAGGAAACTGTATACCGACATAACCTTCAACGAACGACAAAATATAATGGCCTTGTCTGGTGTGTGTACTTTAACACTAGTTTATTTTTTTTTATGATAAACTAATAATTCGTGAAAATAAATTCCAAATAGAAAATAAGTCGGAAGAACATGTGAATGCTGCTGCCAAGACAATTCAAATGACGAAATTGGCAATGCT